ATGGAGAAAAGAAACTTTATTGATGGAATCTGAAATTCAACAACTAAAAGAAATTCACAAAGAATTGAAAGTGTTCTAAGCGTGTCAAACACTGCCCTTAAGATAATATTTGCCCCCACTAGATTGCAAACAGGGTTGAATGGCAATTTGCCTCTAGGACTTAAGAACACAAGAACATGCAATTTGTAACTTATTGAATTTTTTTCATGATTTTAGAATGCAAAAGTTGAAATGAGTTCCTGCACTAGTTCACCTATTTATAGGCAACATTCGTAGAAATAAAAGGATACAAAATAAGTATACAACCCTTGGCTTGTAGGAAATAACCACCAAACATGTGAAGGGTTACTAACTTAATTTTATCCTTCAATTTTAAATTAATTATACTATTTTACGAACTAAAATTTCCAACACAAACTATATGATCTGTCTTTATTGAGAAAACCAACTCCAAGGTTTGCAGAAGTAGCTTCATATCTTGTTGAATATTATTTCCAAATTCCTGCAAGTAGTAATTCTTTCGAACAAAAAAATCTTTTACTAGCAGTTCTGAACATGGCGCCTTTTCTACGAGTCAAAAACTTGTTCTTATAAACTCGGCGTAAAAGTATCAAAGTTATATGGAGTTTTAAAACTAAAACTTAGGTGTGACTTAGAAGATATTACAATAGTAAAACTTTCTTAAAAAATTAAATAAAAAATTCTGACGTTTCTATATAACATGGCTTACAAGATAATGTCATTTTATACTCCATAATTTTGTCCTAAGAAAAGAATCATTCTTGTTTTTAAAATTTCTGTTTGAAAAATAGGATGGAGGCAGTGTAACAAGATATTGCGAACTAATGATTGTTATTTTTTTTTTCTTTACCCTTGTATGTTTCTCTCACCCAAAAATTAATTTTTCCCCAAATGTGTCTGAATATGCAATCCTTAGTTGAAAAACCTTACTTGCTATATGCACTTTATATTTGTTTTTACTATTTTCAACGTTATTATGCTTACCTTTTACATATTTTGCAATTTATAACAATTAAAATATCATTAGTACTCTAACAAATTATTATTAAATATTTAATCTTGTTCTGAAAATACCCGAGTTAGAGGAGAATGTTCGTGTAAGTGTCATGTAAATATCAGCTGGGGGAGGATGCAGGTCAAGTGAAACTCGAAGAAAAATTGGAACAAGACGTTGAAATATAGACGTGACGTAAACATATGAAAGATGGAGGATGACGCACAAGTATGTGTTTTGAAAATAATAAGGATGAAAGTATAGTAGATGCGTAGTTGAATGCCAGCAAATAAAAAACATGCGGAGGAGGTTTAGTTAAGCTCTAAGAAAATAAGAAAAAGGGAAGAGGTATACCTGTTTGAGGCACAACAAGAAGCGCATGATGTAGAGGGATGTTTGCTTAGCTTCCTAGAAAATCGAAACTTTGTAGTCAGAAATCATTAGCATGCATGAATATAATTTCAAGAAGATGGAGGGGAGTTCAATGTTTGGAAATCTCAGGAAGGTGAATGAGGCCAAGATGGAAACAACCAAGAAAGTATAATCACTTTATAAAAACTCACGGTATTTTGCGATGAGCACAGAAAGAAGCCTCGATGAATATCTAAGAGGCACTTGCTAAATATGATGATATAGATTGTTTACGGTTAACTATATTTTTTTGAATTGATTGAAACAACTACATATTGCTACACAACTTTTTTGTTATTGTGCGATGATTGTGCCTAAAATGGGCAACCATTGATTATTAGACTATGTGTAAATGGTATCATTTTTAATATGCTTATCATCATTTAGGTCCCGTAAGTTGTCATTGCCATTCTGAATCTTTTCCTGTATTGATTGGCCTAAATGATGGTTGGAGATGAATTATTTTGTCCTCCACGTATCCTAGAGGCGTTCACCCATGTCTCCAAATGCCTGTACCAAGTGTACTGTCTCTTGAAATCGATGGCCCCTATCACCAATTCTTGCTTCTCATCAGAGATCCCAACAACAAAGGATTCTCCATCACATCAGCATATACGACGAAAGCCGTGCGGTTAACAACTGCCTCCAAGTTATTTTATTTTATTTTATTTTTGGCTTTGGTTCCAAGCAATATAGGTTTTGTTCCGAGTGTTTCTAAGAGGTTTATGGTCGAAAACATTACGTATGTCCGAGTAGTGTCTAAATTGTAGCGGGACCTTTCTGTGCCCTATAGATCATTGACGCGGGAGATTTTTCCAGCTAAAGAAGAGATTCCCCATGACCATCAAATAAATTTTCATCCCTTTGCCTCCTTTAGAGTCTTTAAACTTAGGCGAGACAAGTTGGATTCCCCGAGTTAAAAAAAAAAAAAAAAACCTTGTTTGTAGATTCAAACAAACCGTTTGAAGCAAAATTCATGTCGTCAATATTGTATTGTAGGGAACAATTATCCTCGTTAGATATTAAAAAAGTATTCTTGAGTGAATTCCTCAAAAGATTTCAAGCTTAGCCTTTGTGACTTGTTCTATGATGGATCTGTGATCCGAAGATTTCGCAAAGTAAACTTGTTTTAAGATTCGAGATTGTTTGGTTCATTGTGAAGCAAAATCTTCGTTAAAAGGACTGTGTTAGTAGATTAAAACAACCTTTTAAAGCGAAAAATGTGGCTTTAATATTATGGGCAACAATTGCATATTCCTTGTGTAATCATTTCTTGTCAGATATTTAAAAAGTAAGTTTGAGCAAATTCCTCAAAAGATCCGAGTTCGGTCTTTTTTGTTTCTTCTTTGATGAACATGTCATTTAATGATTTGGAAAAGTAAAATTGTTTTAGACTCTAGATTGATTGGTACAGAATAAATATTCATTAAATTAGTAGATTGGAAAAACTATTCAAAGCAAAACACATGTAATCAATATTTTGGGCAACAATCGGGCATTCCTTGTGCAATCATTCTATGGTTATATGGATTTTTTGCAATAGTTTTAAACATTTATTGACGTTTGTTAATGATTTTATTTTTATAAGGTCTTCTTTTTAATAACTTATCAAGCAATAGTATTTTAGTTAGGCTGGAATGACAAAATTTATAATATCCTAATGAAAAGGTAACTACAAACTTCAAACTTGCTACTAATTATGAACTTGTAGAACTCTTAGGAGATAGGATGACGATGAAAAAAAGGAAAGATTTCAAATTCTAATTCCAGCACAAGAATTAACGAGCTTGGTGGTCCCAAACAAATCTAATGGCTCGCACTCCCGAATTTTTGTCAAGGACATTATTCAGCCATTTTAATTTACGCATTCCTTTTACTCTTTTTATTTTTTGGGAATAACGCAGGATTGGTCCCCAACGTTTGGGGTTAGTTAAGGTGAGTTACCTTTTTTTTTTCTCAACAAAATTGGTCACCTAAAATATGAACCATATCAATTTCAGTCTTTTGAACAGATTTTTTCACAACTTAACGGTTTGTGCTGTGAAAACCGTTAAACCCCCAATAAATTAAGCATTTTTTTACTATGGGCCAGACGAAAGTTGACCAATATTTTTACCATTTCTAAGGGGGGGAGGGAAATGGAGATACTGGCGTGAAACCTATAGCAGAAATGGCGACCAAAAAACCCTTTCACCTGAATAAATAATGGGTTGACTTCCTCCTCCATACCAGCAGTTGTTGGCAAAAAATAAAAAAGAGGAACGAAGACTGTTGGAAGAAGAGAAATCAAAAATTGCTGAGAACGGAGTTGTGAGGTGCCACTGTGGGTTGATTACAAATTTGGTGACCACTTGGAAAGGCAGGAACCCGGGGAGAAGGTTTTGGGGGTGCCCACTGTGTCCGGTAAGTTTACCCTAACTGGTAAATTGTTGAATTCGCACTAACTGGATTGCTTATAACTTCTTTAATCATAGAGCAATGATCGGTGCCCATTTGTTCGATGATATGACCCCAAAATGTGTGCTAGATCGAAGGAAATCATCCCTGGATTGCTTATAAAGTGCAACATAAAGGATGACGAGATCTGGCGCTTGAAGAAGCTCTTGTTTACTCAAACTATAGCAATGGTGTTGATTGTTGTCATGTTCTTTTTCAGCTAAAGAAGAGAATGAAGAATGGGCACAAGGTGTTTGATAAATTGTTGCAGTTGTAGTTTCTTGACTGTTGTACTTTGTGTTGTAATGTTTGGGAGTATTATGCTAGTAGGGTTTTGTACTGTGTTATTCGTGAAGTCCATTCTCCTTAGAATGGAAGGATTGAACTTTAAGTTGTTGTATGGTTTGTAAGGTGTTTCTCTTTTTGTTGAAGATTCAAATTTAAGTTAATGGATGTGTTTATTTGGTGAAATACATGTTATAGCAGTGAATAATAACGTATGTGTTGCTTTGCTTTATACTTGAGAAACAACACCACATTAAGTAAAGAAAGTGTTTAATGTACTTTGCCTAATACTCTCAAATCCCAACAGTGCAAATTCAAAGTTTTGCAACTGGACATTTTTTTGATAATCAAACAGCAATTCTCATCAATGTAAATTCATAACAAAAGAAAGGCACAAGAACACGATTTAAGTTGTCGAAATACGCATTAAATTCATATAGTTATGTATATGCTTACAATAACAAAAGTGCAGGATGCGTACAAAAGTGGACCAGAATACGTTTCTAGTCATCAAAGCATCCCACAAAACCATCATACATGGTTTCAACCATCTACACAAAATAATGCTTAGATAATAATGGAATGGAACCACTAGCAAAAGAATACAACCCTAAACTTCACAAATTAAGGCTTGGATGAACCACTTTGCGTTTAGGTTTTGTAGTAGCATTCCCTTTGACCTGAGGACCAACTGTAGATGAAGAAGTCAATCCCAAAGCATCTTCTCATAGAACCCATTGGTTCTTTTTATAGAGGCAGCTGTCATTTCAGGAGAGAATTTGGTCTGATTGATGCCAAAGTTGAACACACCATCCGAAGAGGAAGAAGGCTTTTCCAAAGCATACATTCGAAGCTACTCATCAGTTCTTGCTATGTCTTTAGCTGTCATTTCAACAAGGGTGTCACATGTGGTTTGTGAGGTCCAATCAACCATACCATCTTGCTTTTTCACATTCTGCATGTCCATGGCCAAGGTTGATATACCTTCTTGTTTCTTCACATTTAACATCTCAGCCCTCTTATGTGAGTAACTGACCTTATACTGGGGGGGTACAACTTCACCAAACAGCTCCTAAAATTTGCTGGTATTGGTCTCTGTGTTTGTAGCAGGTGAAGTATTGGGTGAATCATTAGTTGCAGATGTGTTTTTGTTATGCTCTTTCCCCTGAAAAATATAAGAAGGGATATACCTTGTAATGACCATGTTTATAAGAAAGGATATACATTTAATTAAGTGGATCAGAAAAAAATAGGAAAGTTTTCAACTAATACCTCTTCCTGAATATCATCAAGTGGCTCATCAATAAGCTGAAACCCAGACTTTTTGTTCTGTTTTCCTTTCTTTTTCTCCTTTACAGGTTCAGCCACAATTTTTTTCTTTCCCCGTAACTTTGTTGGTTTAGGATTTGCAGGCTGTGGCAGACTCTGAAAGGGAAATAAACAGTAGTCAGTTTATCATGTACATATTTCTTACATCATATAGACTAAAGCAATTAGGACAAACCCATTTCCTCTAACCTTGGGAACATCCTGTCCAATCAGGTGCGCATTCTTCGGAATTTTAATAGGTTGAGACATACTCTAACCTTGGGAACATCCCTCAGTTTTGCATACTGATCTTCCACAGAACCATACATAAGTCTCAATGCTACTCGTCTTGCTCTATAAGCTTGTGATTTTGTGAGGAAGAACTTGTACTTTTCCTTGGCTAGCCTCTTGAATCTCTTGGTTGGGATTGTAGAGTCATCTTTGACCAACTGTGTACATACCCTACCAGCAATGGTTGATGTCACACTTTTGTTCTTGCGCCTGAATTTGCACTTGTGACGAGGCACAAAAGTAGTCACCACGGGAGATCCACTGCACATGCTCACAAATATCCCCCAGTCACATATCTTTTTCTTTTTGCCATCCTTTATGATGTAGGCCGTCTAACACACAGCTTTAATTCTCCGTTTGTCATTCTTTTTGAATCTCCATCTTCTACCTCTTCTAATATTCCAGCGCCGAATTGCTTCCTTGCATTCCTGCCTTGAACTGAATGTCAATCCACATTGAAGGGGTGGTTTTTCCGTATCCTTGGGGTGAAATACCAATGGTTTCTCTGCCACATCTTCATCCGAGCTCTGTAAACTTTCTAGGTCTTTCTCAGAATCCGGTTCAACTTCAAATGCACTATCCTCGTCATAGTTCCCCTCATCGTACTTGTAATTTATCAGTGGTTTCTGTTTACCAGCAGCAGCTGATGATGAAGGTTTATCAGTTGCACCCCCTTGTTCACCCCCTCCAAGATCATCATCATCATCATCATACTCATTTCCACTTTCTCTCTCTTCATACTCAGAATCTCTTTCATCCCAGTCACCATCACTACTATCAGTATCACTTTCACTGACCACATCATCACCAGTCGTATCATCAGCTACCGTCTCGATGGGATAGTCATATAATATGAGAAGTCTATCCCCAGCCAAAGTATCCCTAACTAACTGTTGCACTTTTGCCTCAGTAATTACCTCCTCCAGATCAGCATCATCTCCCTCATAAATGCAGTAAAACTTGGTTCCCCCATTGTTCCCAGAAGCAGAATCACACATAGTGTGCAACTAAGAGAGCACCAGGCCATCAGCATCAACATGATCATAAACACTTACTTCCCCACCAACATAATGTGGATATGGTTCTTTCTCTACTTCCCCATGGTGGAAAAACTGTACTGTCAACAGGTTGGTACTCCTATCTGTACATGACAAAATATACACAACATCAGGACCCTACCTTGCTGCAATTAGTTTACTAAAATCAATAGCATGCAATTACTTTACTAAACAATACCAAAATCATAGTTTAATAGTTACAAGGAAGGGACATACTGTCGACATTTCATTTTCAATTACAGTGTTCAATGGACCACTTTCACAAAGTTTTAAAGAAGTGCAACTCTTTAACCAGACAGATTTGCTTAAATAATCCATCCACTCGACAGATCAGATTAAGTAATTGAACCCTAACCCCACATTCACAAATCCTCTAAAAAACTACAACCCTTTAACCAGACAAATCAGATTAAATTGAACCCTAACCCCACATTAACAAATCTTTTGTCGATTTTCACTCATACAAAAACCCTACTTCACTCAAAAATCTCATCCCGAAAACAAATCTATGATAACTAAAGCATGGGAACCATAAAACTTACCGTAGTTAGGAACTGGATCATTGTTGTTGTTTTTCTCCCTCAGTCGAGACATCGAAAACTTCACTTAAAGACTTCGCTTTCCCTTGGCTTAGATTCAATCAAGCTAGATGCAAGGATTATTTCATGTGAAATTGAACGGATTTTTATGAATCGGGTGACATTTAGGGTTGGCAAAAGGGAGATCTTGCCTTAGAATCCCGTTGGTTTTTTGTGTTTTGGTGACTTAGGAAAAAATTGGAAAAGTTCCTTTCAGTTTCCCTTTTGCCAACCAAAAATCAGAAACAATGGTAAAAAATTGTAGTTAACCTTTGCCTGGTCTACAGTAAAAAAAAAATCTTAATTTATTGGGGGTTTAATGTTTTTGGGATATATTCCGTTAAGTCTCAAGAAAATCTGTTCAAAAGAATGAAATTGATGTGGTTCATGTTTTAGGTGACTAATTTTGTTGAGAGAAAAAAATAGGTGACTCACTCAAACAATCCCCAAACTTTGGAGACCAATCCTGTTGAAAGCTCTTTTTTTTTTTCAAAAAATACATCTTCGAGATGCAATGTTCTACGAATTCATCCAACTTATTTATTTGAACTGCTATCGCACCCTTACGGAATTTTTCCATTCTTTGGATGATACATTTCAGCATTCTTTGTTCGGTGATGTTCTTGTGCACAGGTGCACAAGAATTTGCTGAAGCATATTGGCATTGCTAGTACCATAGATTTTGTGGTTGTAATAAAATCATAGAGGATTTGCGAGGAAAAAAAAAGGGTGAAACAATGTAATCTGAAGATCGTCTCCTCAGATACTTGAAATCAGCACATTTTTCTTTATGAATTAAATTTGGCAAAGTTAAAGGTTGCATAATTTATCCAAAAACATGTGCTAGTATTTTTAAAAGGATTTATTTCAAAAGTCTTTAACATTGACTCCGATTGATTTCTCCCTTTTTTCAATATTCGAAATCATAGGTTTCAAAATATTATGATCTCTTTGTACTTTATAATTCAGCATATTATTTAAACTAAAAATGAAAAGGAAATCAAGAATTTTTTAAAGATGTCGTTAGACTCTTTTAGGGTTTTATTAAGAGATTATTGTGCACAAGCGTTGGACAACGTCAATAGTGTATCTTTATAAAATTTTATGATTCATAATAAAAACCAAATATCTTATTATAGTAAATAGATTGAGTGTATGGAAAAAATCCTTTAAGGTTAGACATACTTGTTAGTGTTTTTTGGACAATGATGCATGGGTCATGCAATCTTTAAATGCTTATACATTTTTATAGAAGTTGTTAACACTGTCTAACATATGTCAATGATTTAGTTTAGACATTTACTTTTTAAGTTTGAAATCTTAATTAATGACCGAAATCATGGGTTTCGAAATATTATCAGCCCGCACTCTAATTCTAAATTATCATCCTTAATAAATTCCCTCTCTTTCATAATTACCTATCCTATAGGAGCTGCGGCTGCCATTTTTTGACAACATAAAAAAAGGTATAATTTTTGTGATGAAATAGAGTTATGATTGTGACTACCGAAAAAGTTCCTGTTACGAAAAACCTCCAAGTGATGGTAAACTTTCAAACCCTTGCAACAACCATTAAGTTCAAGTTTTGTTTTGTTTTTTTTTTAATCGACTCTTATAGAAAAACCATAAGTTCATATGCAAAACATAAATGCGATGCGCATTTAACCCATTGCCAACAATATGTAGCGCTCAACAATAGCATTTATCCCTATCGATAATTATTATAATACAAAATACACAAAAATGGGGAAAGGATAGTGGGGTCATACACCTATCTAATTTCACAATGTAATGTTATCTTTTCTGGGAGTTAAAATTCTTCATTGAAAAGGCAAATATTAAGGTGAAAAACATGGTGTTCTCAAGAATAAGGCTATACGCATCAGTCTTGAAGCCAAATCGAAGTATGGCTATGTCGATGGAAGTATCGTGATGCCGGCATCCAGCTCTCCAGATTTCAAGAAATGGTTGCGTGGAGATCGTATGGTGCTTGGATGGATTATGAGTTCAGTCTCTGGGGAACTCATTGATAGTTTCTACGCTACTACAAATGCCAAGGAGCTCTGGGATGAACTTGCTGAAAGGTATGGCTCTGCAAATTCTCTTCGTTTATATGAACTTCAAAGGGAAATCTGTTTTGAAAAACAAGGAAATTTGCCAATTCTGCATTATTTTGGTAAATTAAAGAAATTGTGGGATGAGAAGGATCACTTTAGGCCTGTGCCACAATGTGTTCGTGGAAAATGCACATGTGGAGTATCTCGACAGATTCAGGAAATGAGTCACGAGGACAAGGTTCTTCAGTTCATGATGGGATTGACTGAAGGTTATGAGGCTTTGAAGGATCAAGTGCTTATGCAGAATTCTTTACCAACAGTGAATAAGATCTTCTCTATTTTCAGTAAAGGAGAAAAGTAGAGACAAGTTAGCAGCCATGTTAGCAATTATCTAAATGACAATATGGCTATGATTGTGAAGATGTTTTCTAGTCGGTTCAATGCTAGAAATGCAACCTCTGGTGGTAAAAAGGAATCTTATGCTAAAGGAAATAACAAGAAGAAAAAGGCTGATCTTAAATGTGATTACTGTCACAGAGAAGGGCATGAGAGAGAGGACTGCTTTAAACTCAATGGGTACCCCGACTGGTGGAGGGGTGAGAAATCTACTGTTCCTCCAAGAACTCTTGCTAATCTAGCTGATAGTCCACTGGATATGGAGGGAGGAAAGGGACAGGAATGGGAGAATCTACTGGCATCTATGGTGCAAAAGGAGCTTAGTAAAATGGCGAAAGGAAAAATGGAGGAACCAGATGAAAATCTTGCTGTGAACGGAGTGAACTTTGCTCACATGCATGACTTTGCAGGTAATACTACTTTTCAAAAATTGAGTTCTTTGTATTCTGAATTTATAAGTAAAGACTCATGGTTTGTTGATACCGGTGCCACTGCTCATATGATTGCATCTCTATCATTACTGTTTCATCCTAAATTTGTTAGTTTATACATGCCCGTTTACCTTCTTGACGGTAGCATTAAGACTGTTACACATATTGGTGATGTGAAACTTTCTGATAGTGTTACTTTACAATCATGTCTTTATGTTCCTGGTTTTAGATACAACCTTTTATCAGTCCGGAAATTAGCCAAAACCACCACACTATATTTCTCATTTTTTGCTGAATTTTGTCTCCTACAGGACCTACAGACTAAGCAGGTCCTTGCAGTTGGCAGAATAGTAAAAGAACTTTACCTCCTATCACCAAAGTCTTTTGAACCTGAAACCTTAGAGAGTTTCAAACCTTTTGTTTGTAAAATTCATGAAGCTACTACACTTTGTGGATTGTCACCAAAGCCATCTTTTGCTTCTGCTGCAACTTTTCTGAATTCGATTGTAAATGAGAATGATTCCAAGGTATGGCATCATAGACTTGGTCATACTTCTCCATCTGTAATGTTGCATATTGATAATATTAATACAAATGGCTTGGATTCTTTTGATCACTTGGCTTGTGATGTTTGTCATTATGCAAAACAACATAGAATTCCTTTTCCTGTTAGCCGAATACAATCTAAACATTGTTTTGATCTTCTTCACTTGGATGTGTGGGGTCCATATCATAGACCTTCCCTAACTGGTGTACAGTTTTTTCTAACAGTGGTAGATGATTTCAGTAGGTGTATATGGGTTTTCTTGCTTAAATAAAAAACACAAGTTCCTATAACCCTTGAAAATTTCTTTTCTATGGTGAAAACACAATTCCATGATGTTGTCAAGATTGTCAGGACAGATAATGGATCTAAGTTCGTTAGTCACTCTTGTCAAACACTGTTTTCTAAACTAGGCATCTTGCACCAAAAATCATGTCCCTATACACCACAACAAAATGGTGTGGTGGAACGAAAACATAGGCATCTTCTTCAAATTGCAAGGGCACTTATGTTTCATTCTAAGTTGCCACAGAGATTTTGGGGTGAATCTATTTTGCAAGCAACACATATTATCCACAGGCTCCCTTCTTCCCTTCTAAAATGGAAATCTCCTTATGAGATTCTCCATTCAAGAAAACCAGATCTATCCTCCCTTAAAGTCTTTGGTTGCTTGGCATTTGCTACTAATGTTCTCCCTCACAAAGACAAATTTTCTTCTAGAGCCATTAAATCCATTTTCCTAGGTTATTCGCCGGGACAAAAGGGTTACAAACTATATAGCTTAGGTGAAAGAAAAATTTTTGTCTTTCGAGATGTTACATTATATGAAGATCAGTTCCCTTTGACTGAACCACAAACTCTTATTAGTCATACCCAATCCTCTCCAATTCCTATCTTCCAAAAATTCCCTGATAATATTGATGATCCTTTACCA